GGGGGGGGGGGGGGCCCAGCGCAATTCCATAAAAAAGGCAGGTTTTCCTTGGAGGACCATTTTTGGATTGGAGGTGTCTCCAGGGGCGGGCTGAACATCTCCAAGGAAAGGGAACAGCTTCCTCCATCCCCCTTCCCATCCCATCCCCCTTCCCATCCTTTTCCCACAGAGGCTAGGTTCCGGGGCCAGCGCCAGTGCATCCCCCACATCGATACATTCACCTTGCACTGATTTAGCTCTGAGGGTAGTACTTGACCCCAAGAGAGATCCCATAGGCAGCTTGATCCCAGATGGCACCTCCCCCAGGCAGCCTTCCCTGATACATCTCCCCCCCCCCCCTTGCTGGGTCAGATTAAATACATACTTTAATAGGGCCTTGTACCTCGCCCACCAGAGCCCTGGGACCCTGGACGTACAGCCCTGAACCCTGTGAGAGAGAGCATCCTCTGCCCTGGAGGGCCCAGTGTCTGCAGGATAACTCAATGGGGGAGGTGAGCAGGGCTTGGGGACCCCATCCCCACGAGGACTAACCGCAGCTGTGCACATTGCTCAGAGTGTGGTTCAGGTCATACAGGTAGTGATTCAGGAAGTAGATCATGGGCAGCTGGGCGCAGGCGAAGCTCAGCTGTGGGCAGAAGGCACAGGCATGATCTGGGCGGGGTCTTGGCATAGCCTTGGGGGGACAGGAGCCCTCCCACCTCTGGGGTGGCCTGCTGGTGGAGGGAGAGAGCCCAATACCAGAGGCCCTCCCCCTGGTCAGCACTGCGGACAGCCAGGGAATGAGGTTTTAATCACTTGGGGGTAAGCAAGCAGGGGAACTAGAAGGCTGACAAGGCTGGAATGGGTTCCCGTGTGTGGGCTCTCAGGCTAGAATACCCCCCAGGGCCCCGTGTGTGGCACTCACATGGAAGAAGCTATAGAAGATGGTTTGGAAGACTAGGAGATAGGGCGCGTGGGAGCCCCGCGGCGGGCGCTGCTGCGGGCCCTGCTCATCCCGCTCCTTGTAGTGGGAGTACTCGTAGTACTTCTGGGCCATCCTGGACCACAAAGGAGAAGGCTTTCCCCAGCCCAACCTCTGCCAGACACCTCTGCTTCCTGCACCCAGAGCTATGGGCTGGCCAGCCCCTGCATCTTATGGATGGGGAAACTGAGGCCCGGGGGCGGAAGGGCCAATCCCAGGTCCTCTGGCCAAGGCTGGCAACGCAGCAGAGGTCAGCCAGGCCTCCAGCTTCCCACCCTGCTGTCCACCAGGCTCACCTGGTGATGTAGTTGCCCATGGAGGCCCAAAGAGGCACGATGGCCATGCCCAGGGCCACGGCTGAGGGCACGAGTGTGTAGTAGCGTTCCCAGTAGTTGGTGGAGACAAAGAGGGCATAGATGCCCACGCCCAGAAACATCATCCACTTGGTGCCAAAAAACCTATGGGCATTGAGAGAGATGCTGGTATCACGGGCTTATGGGGACTGCCAGGGCCGATACCAGAGTGCCCACAACTCTCCGTTCATGAGGCTGTGTGAGGTGGGGAGACACCCCTGGCCTTGGAATCAAGGACTCTAAGAAACTCAGAGACAGGCACTTGCTGAGCGGCTTCGGGTGAGCCAGGCATCCAAACACCTGTATTCGAGGCTGTAATGTGGGCACAGAGCCCACACCATGACTGTCTCCCAGCCACTGCAAGGATGGAAGGAGATGAGGCGGGGTAAGGGCGTCAGGTGTCAGGGGCTTGTGGGCACATCCAGCCCTCATGTGAGTTCTGGGCTGACTCACCAACCCCCTTTTCCTCACTCATGTGCTGGACTGCAGGGCCCAGGCACATGTCCAAGGGCCTGGACCCAACCTGGCTCAAGGAAACTTAGGAGCAGAGACAGGAAGAGGCTCCAGTGCTGGACAGCACCTGAGTATCCCTTCCTCCCAGCCACTGCTCTTGCCGGCCGTGTGGTCATCAGGAAGGCTCCTCCTCAGTGGCTCTGAGACAATGTCACACGTGTTCAAAGGGGCTTGACATGCAACAGCTAAGGGCCTATTCAGGGCGTGGAGGCTGTCCAAGCTGAAGACCACCCCTGAGATCTTTGTTGAGTATGTGTGTCACTAGTTCCCTTTGGTTTCCAGGCAGCTCAAAGTGAAATGACCCTGTTTTTCTGATACAATTACTTTCTCTTCTATTACAGGGCCCTGGTTCACACAGCCAGTGGGAAATCAACCGGTAGTTTGGGCAAGGAGCAAGGATGGGGGTTTGAGCCCCTCTGCCCGGGTTCAAACCTTCCTGTGGGACTTGGGCAAGCTGTCCAATCTCTTGGCTTCTCCGGGTCTAAGCTCTGGGCATCTACCTCAAATGGTAAGGAATGAGGTGACATTTATAAAAGCGCCCAGCACATGGGAAATGAGATGAGCTGGCAGCTGTTCTTAATAGTGATGGGTTTCAAGAGCCATACAGCCTTTCATAAGCTGGTGACCTTAGTAAGGGCCCTACTGGGAATTTATCCTGGAAACGTTCTTTCTTTTTTCATTTTATGCAGAAAACAGCTACAAAGCACAAAGTGAATGTGCAAAAAAGGAGAGGGTACCCTACCGGCATGGCTCAGTGGCTGAGTATCAACCTATGAACCAGGAGGTCATGGTTTAATTCCTGGTCAGGGCACATGCCCGGGTTGTGGGCTCGATCCCCAGTAGGGGGCATACAAGTAACAGCCAAGCAATGATTCTCATCATTGATGTTTCTATCTCTCTCTCCCTCTCCCTTCCTCTCTGAAATATATATATATATCCCCTAACCGGTTTGGCTCAGTGGATAGAGCGTTGGCCTGCAGACTGAAGGGTCCCAGGTTAGATTCCAGTCAAGGGCATGTACCTTGGTTGTGG